CCGGTGTGGCCCCCAGGCCCAGCTCTCAGGAGGGGGTGGCCTGTCAGGGGCTTCGCTGGTGCCAGTGGCACTGTGACAGCTGTCTGGTGAGAGCATGGCTGTGGGGCTGGTGACATCCGGTACCCAGCTCACTGCGGCTCAGTGGACACGCAGGGGTTAGAAGACCCGGGAGTGGGGTCTTCCCTGCGGGTGTCTGGGGTTTGGTCAGTCCAGCCAAGCCTCAAAGTGGGATGGGCTGGGGGAAAGTTCTTGGGCTGGACAGGGCTGGATGCCCCTTTCAGGGTGTGGGCACTGCTTCCTCCTGCTCCAGGGCTCCTCCCCCTCGGGCCTCCCAGCACCTGGCTTGGATCTGCCTGGGCCTCAGTGCCGGCTGAGGACGCAGAGGAGGTGCCTGTGGGCCTGAGTCCCTCCAGGCCTGTGCAGGACCGGAGGGCCAAGATGGGTCCCAGTGCGGGACCTCGCCGGCTCCTGGGTGGGGAATGCTGTTAGAGACCACAGTCGGGCCCGTTCACAGATGTGGAAACTGAGGCAGGACACCCCAGCTCCAACTTGAGACTTTGCCCAGATCACAGAAGACCACCACGAACTCCTACACCCCAGCAGGAACCCTGCTTTCCTGTTTCCCCACATGCACACAGCAGGGACTCCTCCCTGTCCCAGCCCTACTTTTCCTCCCGGAGCCAAGGGCACAGACTGATCCAACCACCTGCTGCCCACTGTGCCAGGAGACAGAGGTCACAAGCATGGACCCAGGGCACCCAGCTCAGCTGTGGGGTCCCCTGCTGGGCACTGGGGTGAGGGAGGGTAGAAAGCACACAGGCCATGGTGTGGCCACCACGCCAAGGGCCAGGAAAGCCACAGAAACCACTCCTCCCGCAGCTCCCTCTCTGGATGCCTGTGCCAGGCCGGGGTGGGTACACAGCCCGGGCCCTGCACACCCCTGGAAAAGGAGATCTGCCAGGGGCTGGCAACAGGGAGGCTGCAGCCTTCCAGGAGGCACAGAGCTTCACCTGGGGTCTCAAGTCCCTTCCCGCTCCACACGGCAGCCCGATCTCAGGGGGACCCAGGCCTGGGCCATCAGTGACTCTGCGGGCCGCTAGCCACAGCCAAGGGCACGAGGCACAGACGCCACGGGAAGGAAGAGGAGGGACAGTGGCCCTGATCCTCCACCAACAGGAGGCGGGTCCTCACTCCGGCCTCCCCACTTCCGCCAGCTGAGCTGGGCCTCCCTGAGTCTGGCCTCCCTCTTTCACAAGAGCGCCCCCCCAAGCTACCGGGTGCAGCAGGAGGGCGGGCACGGGGCGAGCCCTTCCATCTCCCCCAAACACCGAGGACACGTGGGCACCCCCACCCGTGCCAGGGACCACCTCTGCACATGGCCAGCTCTGAGGTCCTCGTGCCGGGGGCGCCATCCCCAGGAGGCCCCCATATGGGGTCTGAGGTGACAGCATCCAGGCCCAGCCCCAGGCCAGCTGCTGCCCGACTGTGGTTAGTAGGTGACTCACTGACGGAGCCCCGGGCCACAGTGGGCAGGCACCAGGGGTCACCATGGAAATGTCCAGCATCAACACCGCTCCGGCCTGGGATGCAGTGGCCCTCAGGGGTGCCGCGGGCAAGGCCATGCCTGGCACTTAAAGGGACCAGGGGCAGCAGGGGCTTTCCTGTGAGGGCTTCCTGAGCCATCCACTTTACTGAAAAGCCAGCAAATCACAGAGTTTCCTCACAAATGTCCTCAGGAGGTCTGCCCTGTGCTTCATGGCCATGGTGTTTGACCCCAGCCTGGCTTCTACCCCAGGCCTCCCGCCTGTGCCTATGCATTTCTGGGACTCTATCTCTCCATCTTTAGAGTGGGTTGGTTCCTTGTCCTGCCAACCCCAGGAGCTTCTGGAGAGAATACACACAACAGTATTAGTGAAGTGTCCGAGGTCGAGGACAGGCAGACTTGGGGAGACGCTGACCCTGCAGTGTGGGCTCGTGTCCCCCGAACATGGTCCAAATTCCAAGCTCCGGAACCTGGAGATCCGCCCGTAAGTGGGAAAGCCCCTGCTGATAACGAGGGTCCAGGAGAAATCACTCCTGACCTGGGAGCCCTAAACCCTATGACCACGCCCTTAGAGGAAGAGGGGACGCATGCCTGCAGGGACGCAGAGAGGCAGAAGACTCACCCCTGGCCCTCGGGACAAGGCCCTGCAGGTGCCCTGGCTTTGGACTCCGGGCCTCCTCCAGAGAGCTGCTCCCCTCTCCACAGCATCTGGAAACTGCCTGCTGCCGTGGGCCTCAGTGGACAGAATTTGGGGTCTGTTGTCTTCCCTCCTGGCCCCCCTAGATCTGATGTCCCCTCCCTGATGGTGTCCTGTCCCTCTCCAGACTCAGCCATCTCGCACCCGGTCTTGAGGGAGAGGCTGCAAGCCCTGAACCGCGGTGATGAGCTCATTCTCAGTCCTGGGCTCGAAGCCACCTTCTGGGCAACCTTGGGACGCCCTTGAGCAGGAGGAACATTTTCCCTGAAGGTGGAGCAACAGCCACAGAACGCGACTGTGCGATCGCGTACACTCTCAGTTCAAGCACAAATCGGACAGAGAAGCCAGAGAGATGACAGGCTGGCAGCAGAGCCCGAGCTCCCGTGTGCACACGTATGTGTGTGCGTCTGTGTGGGTGTGCGTGTGCTTTGGGGTATTGCACGTGTGCGGGCATAGGTGTGTCTGCAGTGTTAGGCGCCTGCAGCACAGGTTGAGGCAGCCCACCTCTGTCTCCTGAAGACCTGACCCCCGCCCCGGGGCCCCCAAAAGATGGTCCAAATTCTAAACCGCTTAGGCAGAACAGGCCTCACCGGCAGTGCGGGGTCCAGGTGGATCCCAGCTCTCGGCCAGCAGCCCCTGTGCTGGCAGCCGCACGCAGCACCCTGACCCCCATGTCTCCTGCCGCCTGCCCGGTCGTCTTCTCCAAGGGACCCCACAGACCGGGGAGGAAAGCAACACACAGGCATTGCACGCAGATACCACGGGCCCTGCACAGAGCTCCTGGGTCCCGGTTCCGCCTCCCTGTGGACACAGCTCAGTCATCAGGACAGGCCTCCTAGGCGCCCAGAGTGGGGCCCACTTGGTATGTTTCTGAGGCTGCTTCCCTTCTTCCCACGGTGAAGGTGACCTCTAAGGCCCACCCTCTGGTTCTGCAGGCCAAGGTTTGGCCGCACAAGAGAGGCCTCTGCTGCCCCCTGGTGGTCAGTGGAAAGGAGGACAGCTGGCATGGACTCCTTCCTTAAGGAGTGCAGATGGTGATCAGAGGGGCTGGTAAACCTGAGAAGGGTCACCCTGAGAGTCACAGAACAAGGCCAGCACCACCTCCCAGCGGGAGCTGAGGGCTCCCAGCTCACAGGCTCCCTGTGATGCCCGGACCGGGTCCGTGTTTGCAAAACAGCAGGGACAGTTCCTGTCCTTTCCTGGACAGCCGGGGGTCCAGGTGTGTAGCAGGTTCCACTCCAGGGCCTGTCGGGGTTGTCCCAGAGCGAGGGCCAGGTGAGAAAGCAAGTGCACGTGGCCACAGAGCCCCAAAGCCAGGCCAAGCAACAGGCATGGAGGGAGATGAGCTGGGGGCAGCCCAGGAGATGAGGGGTATGGGCACGGGGGGCACAGGGGTCGAGCACCTCCTAAGCACAGCAAGCTGTGGGCCCCTCTGATGGCCGCTCAGACCCCGGGGGAGCAGCAAACTCTGCATTAGCTTGCAGCCTCCTGCCAGGACTCATCAGGACTCGGGGTCAGGGCCACAGCTCCACCCAGCACAGCACCCCCTGGCCCACACCCTCGAGGTGACTCTGTGCCTGGCGAGGTGCTGCCCCAGGGCCCCAGCAGAGCCTCCATGTCCCAGCATAAAGGGAGGGCAATGCTGACCCTAGACTGCTGGGGTGACTGCCAGCTCCACCTGCTGGGGATCCCGTGACTTTGCCCCCTAGTAGCCTGGTGACAGCAGAGCAACCCAGAGGTCCCTTGCAGGGAGGGCTGTCCAGACCCTGTGGTGAGGAGACAGACTGTGGCCTGCCCTAGACAGGCGAGGGCAGCGGGGCCCAGGTGGGGCCTGTAGGATGTCTCAGGAGCGTCTCAGTGGATCTGCCCACCCCAGAGTCCTGGCAACTCAGAGCAGCGAGGCAACCAGGCCCTGGCCTTCAGTGCAGTGCGTGGATGCTATGGGGTGGCCCGTAAGCAAGGGCAGAGGGGAGAGCCTGCCTATCTCAGGAGGCCAGAAGACAGGCAGATGGACTGCAGGGCTGGTGGTCCCCCGGGAAGCAGAGGAATCAGGGCCCTGGACCCGTGGGAAGTCCTTGCTCTCGGGCCTGACCCAGGCCTCCCTCTGCCTGAAGGCCCAGCAGAGCCACAGGTCCAGGCCAAAGGGCCACAGGGAGCACCCTCTGGGTGCCTGTCCTCACCACCTCTATAAAGACCCTGTCCATGCATCCCTTCCTGAGGGACCGGAGTTGGGGCGTGAGTGTCTGATGTGGAGAAAACCGTTCAGACCCAAACAAGGTCCAAGTGGGAGTTGCCAGAGATGCAGGATGCCAGGCGCCAGGGACTGGGCCTCGGAACAGTGGGGTCCTGGAGAAGGGGAGAGGGAATTTCCAGGGAGCCTCTCTGTGCTGGAAGCCAGGCCCCCGAGAGATGGAGGCCTCAGCTGTGGGGGGGGTACACGTGTGCATATGTGTGTATGTGTGCACGTGTTGTGGAGGGGTAGTGTGCGACGCTGCCCTCTGGGTGCACACTGGGCCATGGTCCCCCCGAAATGCCTGTCTGTGTTCTCCGGGAAGGAGGCCCTGGCAGGCCCTGTGGCCATCCTCTTGGCTGTGCCCCTTTCCAGAGCCTGCAACCTCTGCCTCCCTGTCCGGGGCTCTTTCCCCGATGGCGCCGGCAGGGCCCTTGTGACTGCGCCAGCTTTCGGATGGCAGGCGAGACCCAGGAGAGCTCCCCTAACGTCCCCAGAGGACAGCACAATGCCAGACAGCGATTGCTTGGCCACCTGCTCTTTATTGGCTGCGTTCTCCTGGGTGACAGGGGTCCGGAGCGAACTACACAGAGGAAGGGTGTGGGAAGACGGAGGAGGGAACAGGCCGAGAGCCCCGGTGCCCAGACCGTGCGGCACCCTGGGCGGTGCAGTCAGGACCTGCAGAGGGGTTGCCTGGGACCAGGCCGCACCCCGACAACTGGCAAGGGCTGTTCTTGGGGACGGCATTGGGCCTGGGGCACCCTAAGGGTGTGGCACCGTGGGCCTCTCTCTCAAACCCTCACTCCCTCTGAGAAGATGAAAAGGAAACAAAGGAAGGCAGATGCCCTGGGCTCAGTGGATCAGGGCTGCAGGGGCAGCTGGGCAAGGCAGGTTTAGGATGGGGGAGCCGAGCTGGGCTTCTCCTCCCGAGACACGGGGATGGCCCGCTCACTGTGGCCAGCGTCCAGGCCAGACTGGACCTTGGGACCAGAAAAGGTCAGCATGCCATCGGCGGACAGGGAGCAGGACAGGGCCGACTGGTCCACACTGGAGGGCAGGCGGTAGCGGCGGTGGAACTCACGGGAGATGTAGCCGTGGTCGTCCTGAGAACGGCAGGAGAGGGGCGCGGTCAGAGGCGTGGGCCAGAGTAGGCTGCCATCCCCCACAGCAGAGGACCGTCCCGGAAGCCGATATGGCCCGGCTGTGGTGTCCCCCACAGGGCTGGGTCCCAGGACATCAGGGCCACAGGCCCTGGGGGCGCTGACTGGGGCAGCTGTCACCTCCTCACTGGCCCGTGCAGCTCACCTGCCGCTCGCTATGCTTGCCGTGGATCTCCACAGAGTCCTCCTGCACCTTCACGGTGAGGTCCTCGGGGGAGAAGTGCTTCACGTCCAGGAAGATGATGAACTTGTCCCGGTCAGACCGGACCTAAAACCCAGACCCTGGTGTGGAGCTGCCCGGAGGTCAGCTGACTGCGCAAGTGCTCTGCTGTGGGCCCCGCCCGGCAGGCGAGATTGCTCCATGGCTGTGTCCCGCCCACCAGGGTGCCGCAGCCCGGGCCTGCCGCAGGACCACAGGCGGAGGAAGCAGCATTCCCGGGCTGGCACCCGGC